TGTATTGTAAAGGAAAAAGAGTGTGGCTGGAAGGGATTGGAATGAAAAAGAGAACGTGGAGAGAGTGAGTGTAAGTGAACATGAAAGTGAAGTGAGAGGTAACAAAGTTGGAAAAAGAAAGGAACGGGAGAGTTGGAGAGATGGAGCTGGAGGAAAGGATTTATTTTGAACTGGCTGAGAGAAGTGAGCAAGCAATATTGTGGGAGGATTTTAGAGGAACGGCAGAAGGAAAGACAAAAGTGAAGGAGAGTGGAGGTGTGAAGAGAGGTCGGTGTGGATGGGAACTGTTGGAAGGAACAGGACATTTTGGAGAGGAAGAAAGCTGAAAATGGCTGATTGAGACAGAGGAAGAAACAATGTGCTATAAGACTGAATGGCAGATGCAACAAATGATGGGAAGAGTTTGACAGAGATAGAGACAGTAACACTTACATTGAATGGAGAATCTGAAAATAAGGTGACAAAATACAGCTGTGTGAAAAAGTCCTGCATGCTTTCAGTTTTAAGCTGTATTTACATGTTTAATCAATTTTTCACTCATAGAAACCACACAAAATTAGTACTTTGATGAAAATTTCTGTGGTCGGATTGAGATGTATAATTTTTATTAATATAACCAAAGTCTTTTTAAGATTTTGAATGAGTTTATGTGCTAAAACAAACACAACTTGCATTTTTGAGAATGTTAGGATTGAAAGTAGCCAAGAGGGTTACTCCTGTACAGAAATAGACAAGAGAGTGAAATGCCATCACACCACAGTGAGCAGAGTGGTTGATAACAGGCTGCGCTCTGGAAGTCCAAGAAAGTCGACACAATGGCAAGATCGGGTTCTGCAATGCATTTCGATGGCTGACAGGAAGCTCACCTCATCTCAGATTACAAGAAGTTGGAGTGAAACATGTGATGTAAAAGTGTGTACAAGCACAGTGCATTGCATGCTGCTTGCCAGAGGGGTCAAAGGCTGCAGGGCTCAAAGTAAACTTTTGCTCATAGACACTTACTGCTCTTGTCGATGTGCGTGGGCCAAGAAGTATGCCAAGTGGACCAAGAAATATGCCAAGTAGACCAACAAACAGTGGGCCAAGGTCACCTTCAGTGACAAGCGCAATTTCTACTTGACTGGGAATCAGTGCAATAAGTATGTCAGAAGATTTCTAGCTGAAGAATTTAGGCCTACTGCCTGAATCTATCTGTGAAGCATCCATTGCACGTGATGATCTGGGGCTGTATCACTGCTTCTGGTGTTGGTTGGATACAAATCGTGCAGGGAATCATGAATTCCAAGCAGTATGTTGAAGTCCTGGAAAAGACCATGCTTCCTTCAGCTCAGCAACTTGTAGGGAAGGACTTTTACTTCCAGGATGACAACGCTCCTTGTCATCGAACCAAGTCTGTCCAGCAGTGGGTGAAGAAGCATGGTGTTCGACTCCTGGATTGGCCAGCTCAGAGCCCGGATTTGAACCCAATTGAACCCCCTTGTGGGCCAAGATTGGTTATGAAATAAGCAAGAAGCATCCAAAGACCAAGCAGGAGCTGCTTGAATCCATTATTGCAGCCTGGCACCACATTGTCACCAAAGGTCATGTGCAAAGGCTCATACAGTCTATGTTGAAGTGATGCCGCCTGGTGTTAAGTGATAAAGGCTAGTCAATTTCATATTAGTAACCATTTTGGCTACCTAAATGGTCCTTTTCAGGGCCACAGACAATAAAAATGTTAACAAAGCACTAGCTTCAGCCTTCGTAATTGCAACACGTATGCCACTGGGTATGCATCAGTTAATCTGTTTTCATAGTCATTGTAAGCATGCAAGAAAATTCACAATCTCCATCCAAAGAGCACCATATTGCAAGAAGCTTATGCTTTTCACTTAAAAACCACCAGTATTTATTTAGATATAACAATATTTGCATAACAGTTAGCATAAAATATCATAAAATCAATGGTCTATTCAAAAAAAGTCATAAACCATAAACCGTAAAGCATGCAGAACTTTTTCACACAGCTGTAGCTGTAAAACAAAGTGCCTCATCATATGTTTATACTGTTTCTATGATAGAGTTTAGAGTTGTAATATTAACTTAGATTATATACTTTGAAAACACACTATACAATATAGAAAAGATTGCCTGAGTCCTCATATTGTGAAGTAGGAATGTTTGCTTATGATACCAGGTTACTGTTGATTTTACTTAGACTAAAGCAAGTAGATTATAATGTATAGTTATCACATTCAGATTATTTAGATGGTTGTTTAAGCAAACTTATTTAACTATTAATATTAATTAATACAAACTACCAAGTAACACTGTTAACAACTATAGAATTGTGACATATTATATAAAGTTGATATAAGACTATAAGATAACAATATACTGAATATCTTTGATTGTATTAAATAATAAAAGAAGGGAGACATAGAAGTTGAAGGGTTGGAAAGTGACTTATAAAATATTACTAAAGAGCAGGTGCAATTAAGTGAACATATAGTTGATGGTAGAGTGGAAGAAGTTATATAAAATATTAAAAATGACAACCACTACAATGGTTCTACGGACTGGAAAGAGAACACCCTCAAACCTTCCTTGGCGTCAGCTGACCTTTGGGACAGAGATCTATAAACATCATACTGGGTGCAGAAAAATCTAGTAACACATCAGATACACAGATGATGCAGATGACACTTTTGGTGATACAAGAAACCATGCTCAAGATGCAAGAATCCATGACCAAGAACCATGAAGAAATGAGAGGTGACGTACACAAATTAAATAATAAAATAGGAGAAATCCAACAGATAATGGAAAAAAATGAACAAAAACTGAAAGTGATTGAAAGCAGGACAGAACAGACCAAAAAGAAATTGGAAGTGGTAGACCAAAAACTAATAGCAATAAATAAAGATTTAGGGATTCTATTATAAATTTAGAAATGGAACGAGCAGCCTTCTATCTACGCTTCCAAAATGTGATTGAAAATAAAGAAGATGACCTGAGAACTATTATGGCAGATATAATAGCAGACGCCACACAACAGGAGACCCGGGAAGTTTGAAATGATACAGATGAAATTTACAGAGTACATACAAATTATGCCAGGCGCTATAGGCTGCTGAGGCAGATACACATCAGATTCACAAAGAAAATGTTAAGGGATTAAGTTAAGCAACAAGAGATGAACCAATAACATACAAAGGTAAAGAAATACAGGCATGGAAACAAGATTCCCAGGAGAGTAAGAGAACAAAGGAGAGACTACCGCTTTTTAACATCGCATCTGATAAAACGTAACATTTAGATGGCTTATTCCGGAAGGCATGCTTATAACTTGGCAAGAGAAGAAACTAAAAATAGACAGTTTAAGAAAGGCTCAGAATTTCTACGATGAACTGATGATAGTAGTAGAAGAAATTGGCAGTAAAGAACAGTTAGAAAGTAGAAGTCAAGAGGAACAGCAATCAGAAGAGAGTCAGAACAAGAAGAAAGAAAATAGTATTTAAATTCAATGACATTATCAAACGGCAGGATTTAAACAGCAGTTCAATATACAAGCATTGTAGTAGTTCCATTACAAAAATATTTACCCTTTTAATTCAGGTACTGTAATAGATTTAAGATAGTTTTATCCCCTGTACTTAAATATTATTTCCAATTTATTTGATTATTTATTGGAAGATAGAATTTCTACAGATATGATACCACCCAATTTTAAAAGATTAATTAAATAAAAAACAAAACTAGTATATGTCTTGGCCAAAGAGGCTGTGGGGAAGAAACTCAAATCCATAATAGTAATGACTTTATTGTGCCAAAGGAATGTTTACAGAATATTTGGAAGTTTTTAATTCTTCATGAGACAAAGTAGTTAAATATCCAGGGAGAAAATGTGAAAAGAATATTTTGCTGATATTTGAACCATGTCTTAAATAAAACAAAGGATTGCCAAACATGCCCATTGCGTCTCATCAGTACGGAAGTTGTTTTCAATTATTAGTGCATCAGTTTCCCAAGGTTGCTGGAAACAAGAAATAAGTAATTGTTGGACCAAAAATTCTGGAAATATGAAATATAGTTGAATGAACATAAGATGCACTAATTCTTTAGAAGACTGAAAATAATTAAATATTGCAAAGCATTGCAAAAAGAGACACAGTATAACTCAGTGTAGAGCCAATGTTCAGGCAGGAATCAGAAAACCAGAATGTCCTTTTAACAGTAGGGGTATCGAACTAGAGGATCCTGAATCTCTCGTTTGCCACTTTCAATTCCCTTCTAGACACTGAAATTAAGTTCTCATTTATAACTGGAGAGGGGGAAATTATTAAATTAATTACAAGAGGAATAATCATTTAAATGTATTTAATGTTATTTAAATGAAAAATATATTAAATGTTATCCTAGTCACACATACTTTATGGAAGTGTGTCAAAGTTTGCATTCACAGATTCAATGTAAAAAAAATATGTTCCTTTCTGTTTTAACAACTCAAGCCCAAATGCACAAATTTATATCATCAGAAAAAATAATTAAGGTTGGAATTCTAGAATCTGAACTTGAAGATAATTCTAGGCTGTGTTTGCACATTATCTGCAGTTTACATGATCTAGACTTAACAGTCTAGATTTACACAATGCACTGAACCTCAAACTAGCTAGTCATATTCTAGCTAAATGTGCATGCAAACCTAGCATTATTAAAAACCAGGTGTTAATTTTCAGCCACACAGATAATCTTATAACAGCATTATCCTGATCCAAAGAGATTGTTACCACTTTGGACAATGTTGCTTTTACTTTCAATAGGCTCTGGTATTCCAATTTTTAACTCCTGCATTATAGATTCCTAGGGGAAAATCTAATTGTGATTTTAAAGATTTGTATTGTATATGCATCATTAAACAATGCTTACTGTTCACTAATACCTTCACCTCCCTACAATTCCACATTGCAACATACAAATTGAACTAGTAAGTCCTGGGGCTCTGTATTACTTGGGTGTTATATAAACTGAAGTTGGCATATTTCAAGATGGGAAAGTTTTTCTTAGATCTAGTGTGTATTCTCCCAAACGGCTCTTTTCATAGGGGAGGGCAGGGGGAAAAGATTAACTTGTTTTACGCTCAATGAAAAACATTTCTCTCCAGTTTACAAACTCCAATTCATCCCTCAAATGTGTGCTTGTTTTGTGTATTACCTAGGGATGCATGACATGAAAGATCTTTTAAAAATGTATGTAGAGGCCAGATGTCTTGCCAGATGTTGTATAGAAAAAAGGTATTCCTACTAAACTGCTTCTGTTTCTATTTATTTATTTTCTTTCAGAAAGGCTTAGGGCTAAAGGTGGTACAACGGCAGACAGGCAGAATCTGATTGACCAACAAATCCTTTTGAAATGAGAGTTACGTGTGCAATTTGAAGTTTAGTAAGTATGAATGGGGAAATGATACCACCTTAAGATTTCCTTGTTTTTCCTCAAGTTATTTTTCATCTGTTTAACCTGGTGATGATCTATAATAGCAAATAATCTCCCCAGCAAGACTTTTTTAAAAATAGAAAAGGAATCACAGATTGAAGGTATACTTCCCTGCTCCGCACCCCCACCCCAATGTCCCAATCTACGTCATACTTTAAATCATTCCTGCAAATTTTTAGGAGGATCTAGTAGAGACTGAGTCTTAATACCAATTTGCTTAATAGCAATGCAGGCTTTTTAAAAAAATGTAAAGTCATTCAATTGTTATCAGCAAGACCTTTTATTAAAGTTTGTGCATCTCACATTAAAATACTCCAGCAGAATGCAGACAACTTACTCCATCCAGTGCCATTCCTTAAACATAATTAATGACACTTCTATGGTTCAACATGTCATACATGTTTTGTGTAAATGCAGCCAACCACACTAACCATAATTAAACCATAGATTAGTATAAGGTATGAGTATCGTTTTTTATCAGTTGTCATTTTGTTTAAATTATGTGAGATTGCAGTATATAATGTGGTAATCTCATTTGGCAATAGCACCTATAGCACATATTAACCCTGTAAGTTGAAAAAAGAGAAGGCAATAAAGCAATCAGTGTTTTAATTGTGGGACAATGCCAGGTATTTATTAATAAGAGCTTTCTGTATGGAAGTACCAAAAAAAAGAAAGATGAGTAAACCAGCTATTAATTTTGGGTACAAGGTGTGTTAAAGTGCTCTCAAGTATATTGTATGAACAAAAATACTTAGCTCTTTTCAAGTTTCTTGGCTCATACAACATACTAATTCTTTAAATGTCCTGGTTTTCCATGTTGTATAAAAATATACAACACAGACCATATTTTTCAAAACAAGTATTTTTTTTATTTATTCAGCGAGCAAAGGAGGGGGGGACTGAACATAGGGCCTGATCTCCCATATGGATGACTTAATACTAAGCTATGCTATGGCTACAAATATAAACCAATACATTCTGTGATAATCTTATTTTATTTCACAGACATTGCATCTCTCTGTGTGTATGTTAGAGTGTGTTCACACAGCATTTTAAGTTGGAATAAACAATGTTTGGGTCAAGGATGCATTTGGAAGCATTTAAATTTATATTGCTGGCTATCTTGCAAAGCATATGGTAACTATATTTATAAAGTTGCTCCATGGGAGAATTTCCTTAACTTCTATCATGATGGTCATTACTGGATTCAAATACTTGTTTATCAGAAGGGAAGTAGTTCACACTTACAATGCTGTATCATTACAGTGGGACCATTTGGGGATCCAAATGTCATTTTGCAGGTATCTATGATGCTATATAATTGTGGCCTTGCTTTGCAGCAGACCTGCTTTTATTTTTTATTAAAGTAATTAAAACAAAAAGCCAGTGTGTGCACCAAGATAATTCCCATTGACACATTGTGTGTGTGTGTGTGTGTGTGTGTGTGTGTGTGTCTAATAGTGAAGTCTACCAAACAGCCTGCATCAACATAAATAAGCAAATGTTTATATAGTGAAGAATGCTCTGGAGGGCACAAGCTATCTGCAAAAGCAAGGTAAAGTACACCACTTCACATTCAAAATCCTTTCTACTCTCCTTTAATAGGAGAAATAGGAAAAAGTTAAAAAAAATGGGAGGGGGAGCACAGCTTCTGTAGCAAGAACTCCTTTCTTCCTGTCAGTACTATTTCAAATTTACTCTACTACCTTTGGGTACAAACTTTCATCCCTACTCATCTCATTTTTTCCAATCTAAAGCAAAAACAATCATTCTGAAAAGCACTTGTATTCCAAAGCCTGAGATCTGCAAACAATATTATTAAGAAAAAGTATTAAGAAAAAATTCCTTATTTTTCAGACAAGCTAGCTCTAGTATCTCCCTTCATGAAGGCGTCCAAATATTCTGCTTGCTACTGGTAGATGGGAAGATAAAAGTAATAATAAAACAATCACAGATACTCTTCAGACATTATGTTATGACCACAACTGAGCAGAGATAAGACTTAAGTCGAGCACACTTGACATCCAAGCACACACGTCTGGAAAGAGGTAATCTTTGCATTTATTTATTTATATTTGTTTGCTGCCCATCTCCCCTAGCTACATAGCTGTTCATAGACAGGCTCCCATATAAACAGAACTCCTATACTTGACGTTTCTTCCTCATATAAAGCCCTTATTGTTGGCAGCACAAAAGAAGTTCCCTAGTGAACTTGGCACTAATAAGCTGTTCGCTGAAGGTGAATTATTAGATATTCAACACTAGGCCAGTTTTACATGGCAAAGCCAATTCTGTTCATTTATTGTGCATGCTCCAAACACAACTATTTTGAAGGCTGCTGTCAGAATTTAAAATGAAGTTATCTTAAGAATCTTGTTCTTGCTAGTTATTAAAGTTTTCATCAAGCTCCAAATGATTTCATAGAAACATACAAGTAATTTCTTGATCAAAACCATTTGCCAACTTTCCCTTTTTTTTGACTTCTCAATATAGCCCTTTTTTGTGCCACTTTCTAGTGGTTTCCCATCCAAACATTAAACAGGATTGTCCCTGCTCAGCTTTTCCCAATCAGCCAAGTGCTGCCATCTAGCTGAGTATTTTCAGATACTACTGCCCACTGACAATTAGCATCTGGGAGCAGCGAAGACAAAGCCTTTAGCATTACATTAAGTTGTATTATGATTTATCTGAATTCAAACAGTCCATTTCCATTTCTACATATAAACTAGCATGCTAAGTATATGCAGATTAACACCTTCCTTTATTCTTTTAAAGCAATATATAAATGACCACCCCCATAGGTTTGACATTGGTCGGTGGTTCGTCCAGATGGACAGCTCCTAAGTACCAACTATCAAAATACACAATTCTAAGCTATTCGATCTCACATTCAACATATTTGGGTGTGAATGGCAAAGAAAAAAGAATTGTAACACTATAGGAAAACGCAAGAGGTTACAAAGGGGCAATATCGTCTGCACCTTTCATTAAAATTACACTTTTGAAGCAGCTACAATTCCATTTTTAATTCAGTAAAGTTACGGGTTGAGAGGGCGGAAGGACAGGAGTTTCCCCCTAAGATTTATTTAATGAGTAGCGATGAAAACATAGCGTACAATCGTACTCATTTTACTCTAAAAAGAAAAATGACTTCTACTCCTTTTAAGAATTCCGCAAGACAATTACGAAGCACTCCCTCGTTTTTTGTAAGAGGAAAAGCTCAACGGGCGCATTTCTGCCTTCCCGAGAGAAGTGCATCTGCAAAGCTTATGAGAAATTCTTCTCAATTGTTAAACAGAGTCATAAAAAGACTGAGAGGAAACCGCGAGTTCCGTGCAGCGCAAAGGCGGTACAGAAAGAAGTCCTTTGAACCATTAAAAAGTGACGAGAAGTTAAATGGAAGAAAAGCAACTAAAAAAAATCCGTTGGGCAGGAGAAAAAAGCTCGTCAAGTTATGGGACGGCTTTTTTTTTCCCTCCGGTGTTTTGGGAAAAAAAAAAGAGCGGGCACATCTGGCGGAAAAGCCCTCGTGACGAGTAGCCCAGCAACAGCAAGCGGTACAGAACCGCCGCCAAATCTCCAAGCTCAGGCAGCCTCCAGGCAGGCCTCGCCTTTCACTCGTGTTACCTTCAGCCTATCCCACCAGAGACCCATAGCCATTATTCCCCACCATGCACCGCGCCCAGGGAGAAAAGAGACAGCCAGCCCGAGGCCCGCACTCCTCTCACGGCCGAGGAGACTGCAGTGAAGAAGCGCGAAGGACGCGCGGACTGACCCGGGACTACAAAACCCCGCCCCTTTCTCAATCATCAGCAACACGCCTGTGGAGCCAATAAACCCACCTCGAAAACGCTGATTAGCCACAACGGTGAGCTCGCTTCGCTTCCTTCTCTTGCCATTGGGCGAGCTTCCATTGTCGATCAACGACTTTCTTTCTTGCCGATTGGACTAGGCAGCGCCGTGAGCCAGCTGCGCTGTCAGTCAGGGAAACTGCTCGGGGAAGGAAGGGAAGAGGGAGGGGAGGGAAGGAAACATCTGGCTGCCGCAGCCCGGGCCCCGTCTGTGCCGCCGCCGCGCGCGTGCTCCTGCGCTGTGTGCGCCTGACTCCCCGCCCCCTCTCCCTCCCTCCCGCGCCGCCGGCCCGGGATCCTCCGGGGCGCTGCCATGGGGCGCCGCTGAGACAGCGCGGGGAGCCCCCCTCGCTCCCTCCCCTGCCTTCCTCTCCCCGTTGCTTCGCTCGCCTTGCCCCGCTTTGGTGGCCCCTCACTCACACTCGCGGACTTGGAGCGAGGGGAGGAGGACGAACGAGCGGGACGCCGGGCGGGGAGACGGGGCGCCCGCAGCGGCGGAGGGGGCAGTGGCGGCCGAAGGAGGAGGAAGCGGCGCAGGGAGGATCGCGGCTGGGACCTGGGGCCGCTCCAGAGTGTGAGTCCCGGGGGCTGACCCCGCGGGGACTGGGCGGAGAGGGGCGGCCGGGTGCGCGGAAGCCGTCCCGTGTTGCTAAGGAAGGAGTAAGAGCCGCAGGTTGCTTGTTGTGCTGGGGTTGCCGCGCGGGGGGGTGGGTGGGGGGCGGGGAGTGTGTGTGTGTGAGGTTGTTATGGGACAACTGGCCAGCTTTGGGGCAAGTGGCACCGGGGACAGGGCGAGCAGATAGGTGTCAGGAAGAGAGAAGGATGCCTTGAGTCACCCTGAAGAGCCGCTTAAAGTGAGCTGATCTGGGGTGGCGGGGGGGGGGGGGGGGGTTTACAAGGGGGGAAAAGGGGGGGGGCTGTGGGGGGTGGGGGGGGGGGGGGGGGAGAGAGAGAGAGACATAGCATTTTTGGGAACAAACCCCGTATGGAGATAGTTAGAGAGGAGGGTCCGGGTTTAAGGGGCTGGAGAGCGGGCAGCTTGTCTTGGATGGGAAAAGTCTCAAGTGGACTTAGGCGTGTATCCTGGACGGGGCTTTCATAAGAGGAGAGGAAGAGAGTAAGCTTCAGAGTAGATTTTGTAACTGTAGGAGAGAGAGTAAGGAGCAAGTTCCAAGTAAGTTTGCAAGGTTCAGAGTTTACAGTCTCACTTGCAGGATGGGAGATGGAGGGGGGTGGATTTGCTGGGGGATTGGGCTGAGCTGGGGAGCAGATGGGGGAGCAGAGAGGGAGTCCTTTGTGTGTGGCAGAGGCTGTGCAGTGTGTGTTTTGTCTCACAGCTCAAAAGGTCAGAAGGGGTAGGTGATGTGGAGAGCAGTGCAGCTGTGGAGACAAGGCAGGGTGGATGCTGAGAGAGAGATTTGCTCCCTCCCAGAACACTTGCATTCGGCTCTTCCACCTTACTTTCCTTTTGTTATTCCATTGACTACTGTTCCTGTATTTGCCTGCTTCCTTCTTTCCTGTCTGTGCTGTCTTCCACCTTCTGTGCAGTTACTTATTTAATCTTGACACACTTTGCAATGTGTCAGGAGATAAATGAAGTTATAGCTGACTTAATCTTCAAGTTCATGTCACTCTCTATGAAAGGTGAAAGGGGAAAATCACAATAGGGTCATCTGCCATGCTGTGTTTGTCTCATATTCACCCAGAACTTTTGCTTTATTTGTAAAATTCTATTAAGAACAGAGTCAAAAGAGAATTTGCTTGAATTAACCAGCTACCATAGTAAAATGAAATAGGGGAAAGTTATGAGTAAATGGTGCAGAAAACTTTGTTAATTAAACATTGTCTGTGGCCTAAGACTGGCAAGCTGGATACTTGTTTATTCTGCTGGGCTGAACAGCTTGTTTCATTTTAGTTTATTTCCCGATTACTCACAGTATTTTCCTGTGAAGTTAAGGGAGGTCATTAAATTTTTTCCATTCTAAAAAAAGGTTTAATATACGCATACGGAATGAAAATGGTAATTTTGAAGTGCATGATAGTATTATTGCCTTACTAATGAATAGCAAACTTAGTATTCAGTTACATGCCATAGATCATGCCAGAGGCTTTATATGATCACTCCTTGAAATAACTGCACTTTTTAGAAATTTATTATGAGGAGGGAAATATTACTATTATTTCTGTTCTTATATTTGCAATAGTATGATCTGTAGAGCAAATTGAGCATGTAGATGACTTATAAGTGCCTAGAAAAGTGCTCCTTATGGTACATAAAAATATAAGCAATTATTACATCATTAATGAGTAAAATGAGTTAACGTACAATGGCATTCATATTGTATTTATATATATGAGGTTTTTCTAAGTCTGTTCCTTCTAAATTGATAGAAAAGATGAACTGAGTAACAAGATAAATACGTTGGGTAAAATGAATTGCTTAAAATGAACCTCTGGGTTCAGTAAAAAAATAGATGGGTAAGTTCTCAATATAAAA